CCCCCCCCCGCCGGGGCCTGCTGGGCTCTGCCGGCTGCAGCTGCCCTCCAGGTGCCTTCGCCCCCTCGATGCGGCTGCTGTGGGGGTGCTGGAGAGAGCCGGGCGCAGCAGCCCACTGCCTTGGTGGCAGCTAAACAAAACTTGAGGATTGTGCTTCCCCCCACCTTCTTGCCTTAGAAAGTGTTATTGGCCGCAGTGTTGAGTAACGGAGACTCTCCTCTTTTGGAAATCCACTGGTCTTTTTAAGTGGCTGTCCTGGGGATGAGGTGGGGAGTGGAATTTGGCCGTGGAAGTCTGTGATTTTAGGCTAGTGGAGAAATTCCCAATTTATTCTTAGTATTTCTCTATGTGCTTTTTTTGTACACAACTTAAAATCCAAGTAATTAAGCAGTCTTTTGTATAAAGGTGCTTACAGCAGGATTTGTTTGTTGTGTTTGAAGTGAGCAGTCAGAAACAACACTTGATTCAGGTGATACTTTTCATCATCATGTTGTAGGCTGACTGTAAAGAACCTCTTTCTTTCAGGTTTGCAGAAGGTTGGGAATTATAGAAGTTGATTATTTTGGACTGCAGTTCACTGGCAGCAAAGGGGAGAATTTGTGGCTGAATTTGAGGAACAGGATCTCCCAGCAGATGGATGGTTTAGCGCCTTATCGATTGAAGTTAAGAGTCAAGTTCTTTGTAGAGCCGCATCTTATCTTACAAGAACAGACAAGGTAAGGTAAAAATGGTTGTAAGTAGGTCTAATTTATTATTTTGGTTTCAATTTCTGTAACTTATGAAAGTAATTACACACTGGTTTTATTTTTTTCCATCTTCTGGTAATCTTGACTTGACTTTCCTGTGTAGTTTTAAAACTATAGTGTTACTTAAAGGTATTATTCCTTTTTGGGGAAAAAAACAAACAACTACAAACCAAGTGGTGATACTGTAAGTATTGTGTAGCTAAGTGATGAGTGTTGGTAATTCCGCACTGCAAGTAGAAGAAATGACGCTGCCAGTAGCAAATTATTTACATGGTATTTGCATGTCCGATAGTAACCCCTGTTCAGTGGTGTTACTCTAGGTCGTTCTAAACCACTGCTACAGAAAGGCAGGAAACAATTTCTCCCACAGAGCAAAAAAACTTGCCGAATTCCTTTTTGTCTGGTATTATGTTACAGTAACTCCTCCAATAGCTGCAGGCCCTTTGAGGCTACGAAAGAAACAGCTGTTTTGCTTATTCTGTGGCTTTTTGTCTTAACTGAACTGTTATACTGTTAGCCAGTGTAGGGATTAGTCTGCTAAGATTAGTAGTGAACATTTGCTTTTACTCCTTGAGTTTGACTATCACATGAATTGCAATTGAAGGAAAGCTGTGCACCTATATATTTAATGCTGACCTTTCAACTAATTTTTCCTGTTAGTTTTAGATAGTATGGTTAATATAAATGGGGCGAACTGAAGTCTAGTGTCTATATGACCATGACAAAACACATTTGCACTACTCACCTTAACTTGGTACTTTCATAATTAAGACCGTGGACACAACACAGTGGTTCTGCACAGAATATTTGTTGACAGAACTTGGTCAGAGGCTGCCAGCATGATCTGGTGTTTATTTCACAGGAGAAAGGTTCTGAGTTAAGAGTGTGAATATATTGTTTTATTTTCTGAGCTAATGTGCAGGGGAGAGGTTTTGGGGAGCACTGGTTTCAGCTCATCAGTCTGGTTGAAGTTTTCAGAATACTGTGGTGTTAGATTGTAGTTGTCCTATTAGCTTTAGTTAGGCACATGCGTTCTAACAAAATTCCAGTTTTGATGTACCTCATTTTGGAAAAATAAATTCTATTATCCGTAGCATATCTTTGGGCTCTTTATGAATATTTTCCTCAAAGAAACTTGTTTTCTGATACTCATTCTCACTGAGAATATTTAAATATAACCAAATAATGAAGGATTTTTCTGTAGAACTAAAGGAGCAACACTATTTCATATCTGATGAGGCAGAAGAGATTACCCTGAGCATGCTGGGTGTGTCTCCACCCAGAGACTGAATTGGGGTGAATCTGAGGAAACCCAAAGCTGATACGATTGGTGTTTTTTTGCTATCCTTGATGAATGTTTGTTCAACTTCGCTTTGCAGACACCTGTGTTCCTGCCTCCAGTGCTGTCAATGCAAGTCTTGTCGGGTTGGGCAAGTTAATAGAGAGCTTGAACTGGTGAAATACACCCCGAGGGCTTAAAGGTGTGTTATGTTAGCTAGGATGTAACAAGGCTCCTGTACAAACATCAAAGGAGCAAGTACTTCTCCACTGTAAAGATGATTTTGAAAGGTTGTAGGTGGGACAAGCTTTTTTGTGGATGAATTCACTGTTCTAAAAGTAATATTTTTAACAAACAATTTTAAGATCAATTAAGGCTCAGTCATCAGAAGAGATCTATTTAATTGTTTCCAGAGCAGAATTTTCTTATGATTTTGGAGAGAAACAGGCATTGAAACTGGTATTTATTGTCACTCTGTCTTGCAAATAGGAAGAGTCTTGAGACTTCAGCTAGGCTGTTCAGTCTAAATCCTGAGTATTTTTAGTGTTCTTGCTAAAAACAAGTACAAGTTGTGAAGTAGTTTGCAATAGCTGCCTTTTAATTGTGTGTACCTAGCAGTCTACATCTAGCAGACCTAGAATTCCATAGTGCCTGTGGTTAATGTATATTTCTGTAGTATTGACACTGAGTTTCAGTAGATTTACTTTCTTCTGCTTGGGTCTGCTTGAGGATTTACATATGCACATAACTGCGCATTCATATTTAGTTTGCATGTAAGCATGCATGGTACCAAGGAGAAGACGAAAAACTTGTTAAACCTGTCAGTGAGCTTTAAATCAATAAGTATGTTGTAGGACAGAACTGCAAGGGTTAGCTGTACAGTTACAGCTGACACCTGGTTTCTTACCTTTACTTGCAAAGTCAGTGTGCCCGTGGACAAAGGAATAGTGGTGGGTAGCTTGGGTTTCCTTTAGCAGTTGTGTCCAGCTGATGCATAGGGTGTTTCTGGCAGAGCTGTTGCTTTCTGGTCGCTTGTGTGAGCAATGCTGAGGAAGTCTCCCAGTCTTTTACTTGCTGCCTCTGATGCTGTTTTAATGTATAAATTAGATGCATGCTGAAACTGATTTTGAAATCTGGGGAGTAGAAAGTAATTCTGAATTTTGCTGAAATGCTTCATCATGATTATAATAGTGAATATTGACTGAGTTGTTACCAGGTTTTCGCTATATACTTTGTAAGCTTAATCAACCCCAATTGTACTGCTTGGTGAAAGGAGATCCTTGCCTTGCACTGAAATTTAAAACTCAGGTGTGCATGTTTGTAGCTGTTTAATGTTCAGGTTTCTACATGCTGTGTGAAAAGCTGATCCGGCAACCGAACATCAGCCTCTGCTTCTGCTATCTTTAATCAGTGTGCGATCCAGTGAAAGATTGTAACCTCATGCATCTTAATCTTCCTATGCAAGGAAGCCTTTGTTCTACTGAGTGCACAGGCAGAGCAGGTTGTGGTTGTACCTTGGACTGCTGTGGTGACCAACCACCTGCATTAAGCACTTCAAGTGGGAGAACTGCGTGGGGGTAGAAAAGCCCTGCTTACTGTGCTTTCTTTCCTCTCATAGGGTTAAAAGTGGTTTATTTCTATTGTTCTTTGGATCTCGGTTCCTAAGTTTGTATTTGACTGCCTGGTACTGAAGTTCACCACAGGATTTTGTAGTTCAGAATTGTGTTCAGTGGAATGAAAGTACTTCAGTGCAAGGATGCAGTTCAAATTTAACCTGCTGCTATCAGCTGGAGTTTTACAAACAAGTCTGAAATGTGAGCAGTGTGCTGGTTCAGAGGAGGCCGAATAGCTGCACCTTTTCTTGGAATGGAAAGTGACATCGGCTTGAAAAGAACTGCTGTCTTTTTGCTGAAAGATGTGTGATGGTGCAGGATCTAGACTGTAAGCGCTGCCTTGGGTCATGTTCGTCTTCGCCGTTTTCTGTGTGTCGTGACGGGTAATGCAACAGTTGGCAAAACAAGCTAAAAGTGGGGGGGTTTGTATCGAATGCCACGAAGCGCCGAGCTGCAGCGAGGAGCTGGGGTAGGGGAAACTACTGTACTCGGCTGATGGCAGTTTTCGGGCTGCTTTTTGGCGGGGGGGAGGAGGGGGAGCGCGGGCCCGCCCTGAGTCGCCAAACCTGCCGCCTCCGCCCGGGCGTTTGCCTTCGCCTCCTCGGAGAGGAGCGCGGCGGGGCAAAGCCAGCCTTGCGGCGATCGCACGGGAGTAGGAATAACGTTAAAGGGAATCCCTTCTTAAGCGATGTCAGTTTGCCCAGATGTACTTCAAAATGGGCAAAGTTGTTTGTGTTGCATAGTAGGACTGCAACCGAAATATTCGTGTGCAAGCTGTGAGAATTTAAAATAACATGTCAGATTCTAAAAAGCCACACAATCTCACAAAGCATTCAAAAGCTGTGTTTTGCCACCCTTGAGACAGGTATATATTGATCTGGAAGCTGTTGAAAGCTGTGTGATATTTCCCAGTATTTGAATTACACTTAGAAAATACTTTTTTGCAATGTTATCTAGCTGTATTGATGAATTAGTTAAAGAACTGGCTTGTAAAATATTTTGGGCAGTCACATGCATGTAGTAGGTAGAAAATAAGAAAAACATCCTATTATCTTATATCACTGGCCAGCCAGTCCAGCGGTGTTGTGGTATTTGTTACACTGCAATAAAAGTCTGCTGTAGTAGACAACAGGGTGAGTTTAATGGATCTGTTTGTCTAAATCAGAGTTGTGCTGCAGCTGGTAACCTTTCACCAGCTCTGAGAGCAAATAAGAACAAAGATACTGAGGAATAGTATTGTAACTATGTATGGCTTTGCTTTTTTGTATGGAGTGGCCTTATATCTGCTTTTAAAGACAGAATTATATTCTATTGCTAAGATCCTTATCGATGTACTTTTAAGGACAATAATGCCTCTTAATTTTGGTTCCTTTAAACTACAGAGGGTTGTAAATGTACTGCACAGTAGGAGAGCCTTACCCTGTGGTAAGGAGTGTCACCCCCCAGAGAACAGACAGTTCCTTGGGACATATGCTAAGATTCCTTGCCAGTAGTCTGGCAAAAGAATGGGTTCTTTTAGCTATATTTCTAGTCTGGGAATCATTAGTCATATGCAGATACTTTTAGTGGTAAAGGATTAGGGTTTGTCGCTTTTTCCACTGGCAGCTAAGTTTAGAGCCCAACTTTTAGGATAGTGTTTAGGTTTGTTTGCCCTGTTTCCCTTCTTTGAAGTAGTAGAAAGTAGTTTTCAGTGCAGAACTTTGAATCCTGATGCACATAATTAAGAGAAATTAATCTACACTTTTCATAGAACTTACTTTCTGGGGCTGTTATTGCCAGCTGAACTGGCAATAACTTAAGTGATTTGCCTTCTGTAGGAGTTTCACTGTAGTGAAATACTGACATCCATTTCTGGTAGTGGTGCAAAAACAATTGGTTTCTTATATGGTGGTCAGACTAATGTGTTCTACCAGCAGTGTTGCGAATGTAACCTTTAGAGGGCTTGTATTTAAAACAGACTGTTCTAAAACTGAACTGTTCATAACAGTTAATTGTTTTGAAACTTGCTTGGTAAAAATTCTGTTAAGCAGAAAATACTGATGCTGAAATAATTCCTTGAAAACCTGAGTACCCCTTTACTGCACAATCTGAGTATCTTTAGAGGTGGGAAAAGCTTTAATGATTTTTTCATAGTATCAGATATTCCTAGAGAGGAGGGATGGTGGATCAAGTGCTGTTAAGTGATGAGGTCATAACCTAATTTACAAACTTAGATAAATACTTCCTGGTAACTAATAGAACCTGTAATATGGCTAGGTTTTCTACACACGATCTCCTGGGTCCTTTAAATTTTGCAGAATTGGATAAGGAACTGCCTCAAGGCTCCTAATGCTTTAGTTTTGCTTGACGGTATTCAGCAATAAAAGCACATTCTTTTGCCTTTCTGCTTAAGGATCAAAAGACTTTTTTTAGTTTTGGGTAAAAAAAAAATCTGCTTTTATAATCAGATTCTGGCTGGTGTCATGTTTTGAACCTTGAAGTGGGATGGTTTTTGCAATAGCTATGTTAATGTAACTTTAGAGAAGTGCAATCTTAGACTGGACGGGCTAATCAGAATCTGCACTAATCAGAACCACTTTTTCAGATGTATAAAATGTTTGCAATCCTCACTGTCTTTCACTTTCTAGATGCTTTTCCTTCCTCAAACACTTAGACTCAATAAACTCCACAAAAACAAAAAAGTGAATTTGTTACTTGAACTGTGTTTCAGGGCGGCTGCTGTAGCAGACCAGTATGAAGTCATCCACTGTCATTCAAAAACCAATTTTGCTGGCAGGCCTTATGTTAACTAATTTCTGACCTACTAAGGGTGCAGTTTAGGCAAAGGGGTTTTTTAGGTCCAGACCAATGACTTTGAGATGGACTGGTAAATACGGGTATTTGTCTGTTTCTTTGACTGTACAGAAGTGTACCATAGTGTAAGCCAGGACATGGACTTGCATAACTTTAGTTACTTTGCTCTAACTGTGCCTTACACATGCAATACCTTTGTCCCCGTTATCAGAATAATGCAGAGTGGCTCAGTCTCTGAGGTGTTTTTTCTTACGTGGTAAGAGCCAGTTCCAGAGTTACTGCACATTAGCTGTTGTGGTGCTGTTTCACACTGTACCTTAAACTTGTTTGTCTATTTATACCATTAATGACTTTTTAGTAATGGAGTATGACAAGCTGTGCCTTTGCTGTTTCTGTAATGCATCTGTATTTGCAGGAGCAATCTGTAGTTTTTCAACTCCCATCTTGATGTTAGTAAGTTCTTCCCAGCCAGGGCAGAAGACTGACTTTTCCCTGTGTGGTCAGTGCTGATGTATGCGTAAAATAAACTGAAGATATAAGCATTTAGGTATGGTAGTTGTAAGCACGTGTCAACTAATGAGAATGAAATTGTCGAATATTTCTTTGAAATACTCTGTGTAATTAGTACATAATTATAAAGACTGGAAAACCTGTTCTGGTATTAACAGAGGATCAGAAGTGCATGAACAGCCATTTATTTTGTGCACTGTTGATTGGAATTAGGGAAATGCCTACTACTTGAATTTATTTTGGCCACAGTGTTTTAGTAATTCATCAAATACTTTGGATTTACGGACTGAGCCCCCAAAGGAGTGTGTACAACCTGTGCATTTTAAAAGCCACAGATAATGTCTTTCTATGGCCCAAGCCAAAAGAGTTATGAATTAGTAAAGTAGGAGAAAGGAATTGGAGCAGAGATTTGGGACTTGCTCCAAGAAAAGCCTGAACAAGGAATAACCTGCTAACAGTGGAAACAACTGTACTGTCTGAAGTTCTGGTCCTCTTGTCACCTAAATTTGTGCTGCACAGAGTGAGGATATGAGCTTCCACCAGACCCTCACTAGAACTTCTTGAGTGTAAATTGGTGTCTAGACATCAGTGTGATGCAATTAAGCCCTTGTGTCACAACTGCAGTGAAGCTCTAGCATGCTTCAAACTGCTTGCAAACAGATGTCGGAGCTGTGACTTGCTGCAGGAGATGGATTGTAGGGCAGCTTGTGGGATAATGTAATACCTAATTTTTCCGAATTGCAAACATTCTGGATGCGGGACATCTTTTGGGCCGGTATTTCCTTAGCTGTGGCACTTACTGTAGTAGAGCTAAGAACGAACACAAATCTTGCAAGTTATGTAATTGCTCGTAGTTCTGAAGAAGTAGCCCTATTTGCCCTGTTGTACAATGGAATTGTAAGGCACTACAACGGGATATAGATAAGATACTATCAAAATTCCTGTTGGAAGGAAAGCAAATCACTTACTAGCATCTTGAACTTCAGTGGTGAGTGAGTCCCTATAGCTGTTTAAGAGAAGTAGATTACACTTAATTTTAGAAAAGTAAAATGTAAATGTTCCATTACTGTGTAAGCTAAGACATCCCTGTGGGTACTAGGCTTCATTTAATGAAAGATTTTTTCAGTGTATATGTAATTACTTCTGCATCTGGTTTTCGTAAATATGTTGAGTCTTAAGAACAAATGATAAGAAATTTTTGTCTTCCCTGAGGGGAGATAAGGATGAATTTACAGAAGTTAAGGTAGACTATAGGGGAAATAAACAGGTGGCTGTTGGTGGAAATTTTGATTTGACTAGTTAAATGACCTATTAGATAATTAAGAGCAGCTTTGTGAATTTCCAGCTAATTGTCAAACCTGCCTTCATCTCAAGTGTAAAGATTGGTCTGACAAATATGCTTATGCAGTAGGTTCTTTGTATTTTATTCCACAATGCCTTTTCAGATGCTTCAAGTTATTCTGTTAGTTGTGTCACTGGCAAAAGCACCATCTTGCATTTGACTGTGGTGGCAGAGGCATTTCCACTGTGCGCAGAGAAAGTGTGGCTTCTCTTGCGTGGTAGATGTGTGCATGCTGGTTTGGGCTCCTCTTCACAACTTTGCTTTTGTGAAATGCAGAATAATTTGTAGATGGCAACCAAGTAAATTTAAACATGGGAAACTATCCAAATATATTTCATTGATATTTTACTCACTAAATTGAAATTACTAAGTGGTCTTAGGAGTTAAAGTGGTTCTTAAGATTAAGAACATGATATTAAAAGTGCTCATTTCTTTTAATAGTGCATTTAGATACCATCCTCAGTGGTAGCTTCATCTTTAAGTGTAAGTCAATAATAAGATATTTCCCTTGTGTCATACTTTCTCTACTTCGTACATTCATTGCAAATTCTTGATTACCAAACTAATGGTTACCAAACACATCTGAGATGTTGTTTGATACATATGTTGATTACCAACATCGTTTAACATCTTGTGTAAGCAAACATTTCCGATTCCATTGCAGGCATATGTTTTTCTTGCATATTAAAGAAGATCTTCTTGCTGGCAATCTTCAGTGTTCTTCAGAGCATGCAGTTGAACTTAGTGCATTGTTGGCACAGACGAAGTTTGGAGATTATAACCAGAATACTGCCAAGTACAATTATGAAGAGTTGTGTGCAAAAGAGCTCACCACTACCATTTTGGAGAGGTAAAAGGGGCACAGTGATATAACCTCTGTTTTGGATTCGAAAACCGTAAAGTTTTGTTATGCCCTTAATTGCAGCTGCTATATGTATCTTGTGTTATTAAAAAGAATAATAACTTAGATAGCTTTGGAGATCAAAAATACAACCTGAATGTTTAAACAATGTTCTGATTTCAGTTCATTTTTAAGCTGAAATATGAGGGGTTTTTGGTGGAACGCAAAAGCTGTTAACTCTAGTACTTGGGGAAATAAGTTACCTAAATACTTGGAGCAGGGTAATTAAATTGCAGGCATGTCCTGCTTTCTTTCAGAAGTGTAGGTTTAACAAGAACTTGTCTGGCTTCGTACCCTTACACTGAGAAGTAAACAGGAATCCTAAAACACCTTCATAGCTTAATTCCCCAATGTCGAGAAGGCTTCAGCGTGTCCTGCTTTTCTGTAGATATTTTGGTTATGAACTTAGTAGTTGTTCAGATAAGTATGTTGTGGGGAGGTTGTTAGTTGGGAAGCCTTGATTACATGTGGCTTTTTAATTTTTAAGCAAAGGCACAGTATTGTCTCCTGAACGTTCTCAGGATGTTTTGGTAATTCTCATTTCTTTCCAGTTCACAATTACTGGAAATCTATAGCCAGCTAAAGCAGGTCAGAAGCATTTAATAATCTGTTTAACTAGGTCATCTAAAAATCCATGTTAAAACAAGCTGCTGATAGTAACGGCACGTACTTGAGTTATTTCACTTATCTGAAGTGTTTTTATCACCAGCATTATTGCCAAGCACAAGGAGCTAGAAGGTCTAAGTCAAGCTTCTGCTGAATACCAGGTTCTACAGATTGTTACAACACTGGAGAACTATGGTGTAGAGTGGCATTCTGTGAGAGACAGTGAAGGACAAAAGCTCCTTATTGGTGTTGGACCTGAAGGCATATCCATGTGTAAAGGTGACTTCAGTCCTATCAACAGGTATGTGTTTTGTGAAACCATTTTCATCTTCTGCTTTTCAGAAGTACTGAGCATGTCTCTAGTTTTTACATAAATACACAAAACTGCCCTATGAAGCAGCTGTGCTCTATGAAGGAGCTATTGCAGTGTAGAGTCTGAGGGCACTACCTGCTTATCAAGATGACAACTGGCCTTAATACTCTTGAATTTTTTTATGTATTTTTGAGGCCGTGTCTTCAATCCAGCATTGCAGACAACGGTTGGAGATCATTAAGTTCTCGAAGTGCACTGTAGTAGCTTGTGGAAAATGACCTTATCCTTAAAAGCTAAATAACACTTCTTTTTTTATATTCATTTTTAGGATTGCTTATCCTGTTGTTCAAATGGCAACTCAGTCTGGCAAGAATGTATATCTGACTGTGACCAAGGAGTCCGGTAATAGTGTAGTTCTCTTGTTTAAGATGATCAGTACAAGGGCAGCAAGTGGACTCTATAGAGCAATTACAGAGACGCATGCATTTTACAGGTCAGTGCTGCCCCTAGAGTTGTCTGCTGCTGCTCTTCTCTGCAGGGCTTTAATTCAGTGCTTAAGCAGCCAGCAGTCTGACTGCACTTCAGAAATTCTCTGCAAAATTTCATTTTCTTTGCAACCTCTAATTTCCTCTTAAGTCCAGAAGCTGATCAGGTTTTTGCTGTTTTCCATTTTATGGGGTGGAAGCACAAGACAAGTAAGCAAAATCTCTTGGTGTACCACTACTAATAAGAGCGCTTCAGAACATACTTAACTGTGTTCTTTAATATTCATAAACAATGCATATGTGTGTTGTGCCTATGTAAGAGGGAGGATTAGAGAGCAAAGCAGAAAGATGCTGTCTTTCAGAATCTGTAGGTGTAGCTCATGCACACATACTCCTTGTTTCTCCTTTATTTGGCTCCTCCAATTGCTGAAGTTATCTGTATGCCACCTTCCCATGCCACGTGTTTAAATCTTCCTACAATTCCTCTGTCCTTGCTCATGTGCCCAGGATTTTGTTTCATGCCAGGAGTTATCAATTTTCTTTATCCTTTTGTTCTTTGAGGTAGGGGTCCTCTACTGATTTGATGGCTGATTTTTTTTTAAACCCCTTTTCATTCCTGCTGTGAGGTCCAACACTGATCACGAGAACTGTCAAAGACACTTAGTGTTTTCTCCAAATTAAGTACCACATACCAGTTTCAATTACTTTGTAAGAGAAGAATTGGACTTATAGCAGCAGAAAGTACATACACTAGGCAGAGCTGTCCAGATTAGATTATTTTGATACAGCCATTAACATCACCTAGCTGCCTTTCTAACCACTGCATCTAATCAGCAGCTAGCCGCTGCTTATTCTGTGAGCCTGATATTAGGCATGTCTTGTTCTGCTCTGTAATTGTATGCCCTTGAGCTGCTGTTTTGCCCTCTTCATACTTTTTTCCAGGCAATTAAGGCATTATGTAACTTCTAGACAGTCTTAACGTTTTGACCTTTGTTTTCTGCCTGCAACTTCTTCTGTCCTTTGCAGTTTCTAATTTTAATTTAAGCAAAATTTTAGCTAGGCGATAGCATTTGGCTGTAAGCTTAGGTCTTGGACTTTAGGCTTGGTGAGGCTGTAGTCCTTGTGTTCTGTGTTTGCATTTTCTTTCCTACACTGTCTAGAGAAGTGATGTGCCTTAATAGGCTTCCGCAGATTTAACTCTCACTGAAATATGTGACAAGCATGGTTAGGGTAGCTGAAGTACTTGGTGGCAAATACAGATGGCTTAATTTAATTATCTAGAGGGCATTCACACTAGTTCTCTTCAGATGATTTGATAGAAGTATGTAAAGTACTGAGTGGACATTTGGTTAAAGATACTGCTTGACTCTATCCTAAAAATTTTTGCAAGCCTGTCTAAAAAAAGAGGTGTTATGTCAAAGGCTGTTAGCTGAAATTCCTTAATGCAGTGTTTGTAAATTACCATGAAAGGAGGCTTTGCTAAACTGAACCATGGATTAAGTGGGCATTGGCTGTTTCTATTAGCATAATGCCTTAAGTCCCTTCCATAGGCTGATTCCATTTTACCAGACACTTCACATTTTTGAAGATGTAAAATGGGAAAGTGACAGTTACTATACACTTCTCAAAGCAAAGTTGTTGTGCAAACAATATTTAAGCTCCTGAATGTTCTCAGAGTGCTCTTTTTGCTTCAGTTTCAGTGCTGTTACTTCAACTTTGGGAAAAAATTATTGTAGGGATAAATTTATTGGTATTAACTAATCAAATTTGCATTTGCCCTGTTTTATAGGTGTGACACTGTCACCAGTGCTGTCATGATGCAGTATAGTCGAGACTTAAAGGGCCACCTAGCATCTCTATTCCTGAATGAAAACATTAATCTTGGTAAAAAATACGTCTTTGACATTAAGAGAACATCAAAAGAAGTTTATGATCATGCACGGCGAGCTCTTTATAATGCTGGCATTGTGGATCTTGTTTCAAGAAGTGACCAAACCCCACCAAGTTCCCCCCTTAAGTCTTCGGAAAGTAGCATGAACTGTGACAATTGTGAGGGCCTTAGCTGCCAACAAACAAAAGCTCTGCAAGAGAAGTTGCGGAAGCTGAAGGAGTCCATGCTTTGTATGGTGTGTTGTGCAGAAGAAATAAATTCAACCTTTTGTCCCTGTGGCCACACAGTATGCTGCAAGACCTGTGCTGCCCAATTACAGGTAATTGCAATGCTGTTAAGATGTGAATTACCAGATAAGTAGAAGTTTTGATTTTCTGTATAATTAAGTCATGGATTAATATGTTCATGTTTATATTCTAGTAAAACATATTTTTAAAATTTTTTGTGGTGAACTAGTTCCAAAGAATGTGCTGTTTAGATAATGTGTTTGAAAGGTAAGTTTTAGCTGTACTGACTTCTTATGAGGGTAAGAATTGGCTGCACGTTTCTCATGGTACTCTGTTTTAAATATGGAGATGATGGGAAAAGTGCTGTGTTACTGTGTACATGGAGGAAATCTCCAGTGAGTGTAGAGACTTTCAAAATGCCAAGTAAAATAATTTCCTCATGTTTTTCCTTTCTAGTCATGTCCTGTTTGCAGATCTCGTGTAGAGCATGTCCAGCATGTGTACTTGCCAACCCACACCAGTCTTCTCAATCTGACTGTGATATGATCTCCGTATACACTTTAAACCTGTCATGTACTGTTTAAACTGCACTAAGGTGAAATGCAACCATTGATTGTGAAGAAGGCAATTGCTCTGGCACCTATCCACGATCAAAAGCAAGAATACTGCATTTTTGAACATAAATACTCTTTGTTCAGCATGTCCAGAATGGTTTGGGACATCCTTCGAGACCAGAAGGGCAGTTGACTCATGTTACTTAAAAGAATGATGCATAGGTTTGTAGCATGGTGGCGTTGCCGGAAAGCTGGGTAACCCTGGAGAAGTGTGGTGTACACGAATTGATATACTCAGCGAGAGCAGTGCGACCTTTGCTTTTACACTTTAAATCCTTTTTAGTACAGTCACTCCATTTATTTTAATAGTAAGACTAGCTTTTACAAATACCAGTTTAGTATGGCTCATAGTTTCTGCTTTTAGTAAACTACTTTAGTTTAAGAACAACCTTTTTTTAAAAAAGTTCTCTCCTCTTTAAAGTTACAAGGCTTCATCAAGCAGCTGTGTTTCTTTAACAGAATTCTGTTAAACAGAAAAGAATTCTGACAGAACAGCTTTGGAAGGGTAGGACAAGTTTGTTACCCTGGAAATGTTGAGAGTGGGTCAGGAAAGTCTTCTGGCTGGCAGTGTCTTATGGAACTGCTGTTATGGGACTTCATTCATAGCTCACAGTAGGCAAGGTGCTCCCAGGCTTCCCACATCCAGCTTGGCTGGTGATCTTGGGAGTTGCAGTCAGCTGCCCTTTAAGTTGGCTTTTTTGGAGACTGATTTTAAACTATTAAATACGTACCATTAATTTCTAAAATAAGGGTTGTGTATAATTTTAAATGCTTTCCTCAGTTAACATCTTTATTGGGTAGGTCATTTCCTGCTAAGATGTTTTTAATCTCCACCCCCCTACTTGGGCATTTTGGGCTCTGGTTTCCTAGCGTATGCTCCAGGGTACAGAGGGAACTAGAGACCATGTTTGGGTGCAATACTGGCTTAATCAAAGCTAGAAAAGTACACTGTCACTTTACTGAAATTTTCTGACTATACTTTTCATATTGCCTTAATGTAGCAGTAATGTGTGTTTATGCATCTGTTTCTTTGCACAGACATTTTGTCAAAATGTTAAAACTCTACTTTTTTATGACACATTAGCATATAAACCTTACTCTCAGAGGGTATTTATTTTTTCACTTTGTAAAGAAAATTTTGTTTCCTCATGAAGCAAGAGCTTTGTCCTATATCGTAGGCAACTTCTGTCTTTTTATATACAGATTAATAAAGGACTTTAAAAATCTACTTTGTGTTATTGATAAGACTTTAATTGTGTTCTGAAATTCATCTGAGGCGTTAATGAACTGAAAATACAGTATGAAGTATTTTCATGATTAGTCTTGAATGTTGTGTCATGGTTTAAGAGGGAATGAAGTTGTCTTCAGGTGCATGCAGATTTCAAGGGAGGGAAGAAAACAGATGTGGTCTAACCACCTTTGTTCAGGCAGTGTGCTTTAAAACAGCTGATATTCCAACTGTAAAACAGCCTTCAGAATTCTCTTTGTGAAGAGCTTCCCTGCAGTAAATTGCCCCAGATACCTGGGGTGTATTCCAGTGAGATGAGAGAAATGAAAAAACACAGCTTTGAGAGTAAGGAGTTGGAGTTGCAGCAAAACTGCCTAGGGAAGTTCTTAATTACAGATGTGTTGGTGTCTTTTTTTTCTTGACTGAAGCTCTTCATGTTTACTATCTCATGACTCTACTTGGACATTCTTGAAGAGATGATGCTTGAGTGCTTCCAGCATGGTGCTCTGGCTTACCCCCGTTGGTAAGCTGAAGGATGTGAGATAGTGCTGGGATCCATGGGGCTCTGTTCTGGTGAGCGGGAACTGAAGTCACTTAACCTTTTAAAATTAATTTATTGCTATTTAAAACAGATTATTGCAGAGTAGCATGTCCTGTTGCTAGTACATTCATCAGGGATTGAAGCTTGAGACCCTAAACCTAAAATTATTTTAGACTTGCTCTGAACCACTGCTGGTCAGGGAAGGGGGAAGGTGGCTGGCAACTAGACAATGAACACAAAAGCTGTTTATCTCCAAGTGCATTAGGCACAAGATAACTTAACCTTTTCAAGATTAAAATTTCATCTCTTGGCAAATGGGTGCTACCGAATTAACTTTCAAAGACAATAAAAGTTCTGAAGAAAAGTTGCATTGTCCCTGTGTGCCACTTACAGGATGGAGTAGGTACACAGGTGTTGTCAGAGGACTGTATCCAGCTGCTCTGCTGGTGCACAGCAGTGCTAAAGCAAACCTTCCTCCATTCCTGAAATTACTTTGTTCTGTGCTAACAGAATTATGTTGGTAACATCTAATCCATCATCCTACGGCAGCTGGCTGGAATGGATTGTAAATTAATGTAAGTAGATGTTAATACAGGCATCTGATTTAAAGCATTCAACACGATCAAGCTGTTAATGCTTGCCTATTTTAACTGCAGGTCCTTGTAATTAAATTGGCTGTGTAATTAGACATCCCTAATGCAAAATAATTCCAGTAGTTAGAGCTCTAATCAGGGTGGGGTTTGGCAGGCTGTATGGCATAGGTGGACTTTGGGCAAAGCCTGTGACTTCCATAAACAGCATCGACCGAGCCTCCAGCAGCTAGGCAGAGGGTCAGGCAGAAGCGCCGAGGGGCAGGTCCAGACAAGAGTCTGGCAAGCGCTGCCTGTGCCCGAAGCGCTGGGGAGTCCAGTCCTGTGCTGGCAGAGGGACGTGGGGAGCATGAGCAGAGGCGTTTCCCATCAGGAGGGGTGGGATTGGTACCTCCACACACTCCACAGCCATGAAATGCTGTTACCTGCTCCGAGAAGGGTGTGCCATGTAATGTGCCTCTTCCAGATGTGGCAAATTGCTAAAAGCCTCACTTGGTTTACATGTAAGATTTAACAAGATGCCAATCAATGTAAGAATTGCTTTGCTTTGCTTTGCTTTGTTCAGACAGCTTCTCCAGAAGCATTGTCTGAAATGCAGTTGATCAGGCTATGTGAGCCAAGTTTGGTGTAACCATCCCAACTTCTGTGATACATGTTGCTCAATGTTTCTGGCTCCAGGAGGCCCTTTCTCATCAGCAGTACTGGAGCTGCCAAGAGCTCTGAAGAGTGGAAAAGCAACAATAGGAAATCTTGAACTCCACATGCCCCATAGCCATGCTGCAGAAAGGGTCAGGTCTTGTTTGCCAAAGCACTGCCCTCTCTCCGAAGCAGCTTTGAATCCTGTAATGGATGGCACTGGGGAAAAAAACAAAACCCACCAGAATAGTTTGTGGGAACAACTGGAGTTTGTGTCCTTTACACTACTTCCTGAGGGGTGGAAGGATTGATCACAAAGCTTTGCTTGGTGCCCCTCACACTGTACCTTAGTGTGTCTGCATACCAGGCACTCATCGTGAAGCCAGCTCCTGTACTGGTACTTGCTACCCAAAGCTAGTACAGCTTGGCCAGAAAACTCTCAGCAAATTCAGTTCCCATTTATCTTCAGAATTGCAGTGCAGCTGCTGGAATCCCATCAGGTGCGTGCAATGTCACTTTAAAAGGTGATAGTCTCAAGCTTCTGCTACAAGTACCTAAGTGGGAAAAACTCACCTTCAGAGGCAGTGTGCCTTGCTGGGTAAATTCAAGAGCAGGAGCCCTGGTTGGTACTTGGCCCTCCTCGTGGTAGAACAGCATTCCACAGCAGCTGTGTGGAGAGGGTTGTGAGTAGGAGAGAGGTTCTTACTAAAATACTGTTACACTTAAATGTTACTTATTAATAAGACTGGGATTTAGCAATAACTACACCTAGGAGTTCTTGGGAACTCCCAGCCCTCCGCTGGTATCTGCCTGGCTTTCATCTTCCCTTGGCTGCATCAAGATCTCCGTCAGGGAGAGCCCTACCTGCGAGGGACTACAAAGGCAGGAGCTTGAGATGTGTCAAATCGCAGCTGTAACAGGTCTATCCTCCAGCATGTAGTCACTCATTTCAAGGTACGTACAAATGTTAAAACGCTAGAGAACTGTAGAATGAAGGCTTCTGTAATTTAAGTTATTTTGATTTCTTCCCCAAGTGCCATAAAAGCATGTACACAGCAGCATTCATATAACTCAAGGTTTATTTCCTCGCTAAATCAGCACTGTTGTGTTCCTAACAGAATGCCCTTGGGGGAAAATTCTCATGTGTCAGCCTACAATATTTCACTTCACAGCAGTGCGCTGGCACGTTGATCAAAGACAGGGGAAAATTACAGCTCAGATTTCCCATCTACAGTTTTAAACAACAAACTTTCTGTGGAGCGTTAAAATTCTGAATTGACACATCTTCGTTTCAGTGATGCCTGGTCAAATACCCTGCTTGCATTCCCATCCCATCTCCGCTTTCACCGAGAACGTGCTGTAGTGCCAGGTAAGTGCTGCGGTCACCTTTGTGCCAGCAGGAGCCTGTTAAAAGAAAAAGTAGCAACTGACAAATGGGTTTAAAAGTAAGAAATCTCGGTAAAATTGCTGAGGGGCGAAAAAACCATGCCCAGGGCGGACTGCCAGAGGAGAGGCAGGCTTTCCACGCAGGGCCTGAGCAGAGGGGCTGGGTGGGAAGCGGTTTGGGAGAGGCAGGAGCTGAGGCGTGCCGGGGCAGGCTGGTAACTCCCCAGGGAAGCTCCCACCAGAGTGTGGTCCTGGCAGGCCGCAGGCAAACCTCCAGCTCTGCAGGGCGCTCGTCACACATCACACGACTTCAGGGTAAACCCCCAGCCGGAGCCCTGTGCTTCAACACGACCTTCAACAGTACTGGGTGGTAGAAGCTGTCCAGTTCCCCGCAAAGGGAGGTGTGAGCTGGGGAGAGGTGTCAGGAGCAATGCTGAGGAAGGGCTCGGAGCCCCGGCTAAAGGCATCGCTGGTTGGTGCAGGAGTGGGAAAACAAACTGTGACAACTCTGAAAACTCAGTGGGATTTGTGATTCCTCTCCGTGCAAGAGCAGGATAGGGGAGATCCAGAAGGGTGAATGGGGCTGGTGCTCCCCTGCGCTCAGAGATGGCGAGCAGGGTTCAGCCCAACCTCCTGCTCCTGCTGGGATGGAGGACTTGCAGGGGCTGGCCAGCGGCTAACTTTCATAGCAGTCATGCGTACACCAAGTTCCTTAGAGAAAAAGGTCAAGCAAACAAACCATGCCAGCTTTCTCAGAGCTTAACAATGGGTCTCTTGCTGATTTCTTGCCAACTAAAATGCAGAATCCTCTTCAGCTACTTGGAGGCTGAAGGAGGGTGAAACACAAGTGGGAGGGGAATCAATCTGCCCCTGAAAGCGGATGCCTTTCTCTGCCTTCACTTTGACCTTCTCCTGAGTGACCTGACTTAGCCTGTCCAGTATTTGCTGACCCTTCCTTAATCCTGAAGACTCTTCTGTTCTCTCACCAGTGATTT